CACAGATGCTCAGCGACGTCCTGCTCACATTTTTACCTTCCTCCATTGTACAGTGGCTCTTGTGGTTTATGGCATGATGTCACCATGGCTTTGTTGAAAACAGTGTCACCCTCTGGTGACGCGCACACCCATGGGCGTGAGAGTCAAAGACCATCTGAAGGTGGGTTCTGTCAGGTCACAGCCTCCTTTAGAAAATATTAGGTGGTGTTTTCTTTTGGTCTTTTCCGTTTCTGTGTTAGGCCACAAGTCATACTCTCGTTCATTAGGAAGGTATTGGCTTGGAAGATTTCCTTAGGAGGTATGTCAGGCAGACTTCTGAACGAGCCCTGTGACATTTGTCTTCCAACAACTGCTGTCATGGTTATCTCACATTATATATACGTGGCAAAGGAGGTTTTGGAGATGCGGTTTAGCCCTCTAGTCAAGTGACTTCAATACGCAGATTGTTAGAGTGATCCTAACTCCACTATGGGAGTGATAGTGTTATGGAAAGCTTTGACAAGTGACACACAGAGGCAGCAGAATGGAAGTAAAATAACAAAAGTTTACTCCATGGATGGGGGTCAATCACACCTAATTACAGTGCCCTGATCGACCCAGTATGGGGCTGCAACTCCCTCTTTTATTCTTTTATAGGGTTTTACAGCCTTAATCTCATTCCGGTGGTTACATTTCATTTTCACAGTTCACACTGCTGATATTAAAAACATGGTGGCGAGGCGGCTGAATTTCAACCTGGATGTAGTACTTCTTTGGTAGGGGAGGTTACCCTTAAAATTCATCTAGTTAGCTGGGTATCTTTCCAAAAGTACTAAAAGAATCATATCACAGTGATGTATGCACACCCATGGTTATAGTGGCACAGTTTGTAATAGCTAAAACTTGGAAACAGCCCATTTGCCCAGCAGTTGGAGACTGGATAAAGAACATGTGGTTTTTCTATACAAGGGAATATCACTCAGCCATAAAGAATGAGAAATTGGATTCATTCATAGAAAATGGGTACATATTGAGGATAAACTCCTAAGTGAAATAAATAAGTCACACATGTGTAAATACCGAATAGTTTCTCTGGTGTGAATAAACTGTAATAGTACATAAGATCCTAATGAGATAACTGACATTGTGAAATGGGAAGAAAGGGGCTAAAGGTGTAGGGAAGGTGGGATGGGTAGGGGAAGGGTAATAAGGGAAAAGAAAAAAATGTAAGAAAATGAAAAGATGGAAATAAAGTGTTTGTAAATGGGGAGGGGAAGAGGGGGTGAAGGGAGGGCAGGGATAAGAGGAAAAAATGAGAACCAAGACTTGTCATGTAGAGGTATAAGATCCCAACAATGAATGTAACTGTACTGTATCCCTAAAATGTACCAATAAATTCAATTATTTAATTAAAAAAAATAAAATTCATCTAGTTATTCTAGCCCCGGGGGAAGGGGGCGTGTCTGGTCAGCAAGGTTAGCAATGGTTCTTTTCATTTAAAAAACTTTTTAGGGAAACCAGATGCCTCCCGTGTGCCTGTTGATTCTGAACTAAACTGATCAAAGGGCAGAAGTTATTTTACATGGTGACATTTCCTTGGGTTTTTGCTATTAAAGTGTTCTGTATCATTAGCACAGGAGAATTTACCCTGGCTGGTGCCGGATGAAGAAGTCAGAACGATCTGAACCACGAGAGGGCCGGAGTTTGAGGCAGGCACTCTGGAACTATGAGTATCAGGACCAGAGAGGAAGGGGCCTGGATGTGGGTGGCACCACTCCATGTAGTGAAGGCCCATATGGACCACAGGCAGAGGGAGGTGCCTTTCCAGCCTAGGCCCTTGATTTTTTCCCTTTCCGCTTTCTGACTGCCATGAGGTAAGAAGTTTTTCTATGCCATGCCCTTCCACCTTGCCGTTTCTGTCTCCCACGGGTCCAGAAACAGTGGCGTCAAGGGGCCACGGATTGAATCCTCTGAACCCATGAGCCAAAACAAACCGTCCCTCCTTTACGTTGTCTTTCGGGATATTTTGTCACTAAGTTGTGCTTGGAAAGGACTCGAGTTGATGTGGCACTTGCTTAGCAAAGACATTTATGAGGACAAGTAGTATAACTGAAGAGAAATCCTTTGGAAGAAATAGATGAGCTCAGGCTGGGCTCTACCCCATCGCCTAACCTTGTTTCTTGGACCCCATTTTGGAGAAAAGGAGGCCTAAAGATACAGCGATAGATTTATCTGTGTCACAAAAGATAAGGACAGTGTTCTGCAGACATTTGAAGATGTGCAGAAGTTTGCTGAAGGTGGAAAGCATGCTATTTAGAGGGTTTCAGAGGAAAAGAACCCGTAGGCAGGTTCGTGAGCTGAGGGGAGCTTAGAAACTGCCTCTTCCCTGCCACGTTGGGAAGTACCGGGGGAGAGTCTCAAACCCTGTCATCCTGGTGCTTATATAAAAGTGATGATTGAATTTACATTTGTATTGTTCTTTCTTTACCAAAAGTGTCCATCTGTGAGAGCTTTCGATTTCTATCCCTTCCCTGCACCTCCTACAAAAAATTCTTAGTCCGACCCCAACCCTCCCCATTTTAGCAAGCATCAACCTTTCTTCCAGTTTCTTAGCCCAGTTAGCTTGGACCAGTTTTGAGTTCCCTGTTGCCCTTTCCCTCTGTATCTGATTCATGGACATATTTTGTAGACTGTCTTCCATTTGCATCCAGCGGAAGCCACTTCTCACCAAGTCTTCTCTTTGTACTCTACACCAAGTTACCAAACGAACACCATTACCCTCCTTGCATGCTGTGAACAGTGTTTAACTGCTTATCTTTTCTACCTTTGTCTTCTTACAGCAGACACAGTGGTTCTATTGGCTGTTGGTCCATGGGTTTTTGTTCTCACGTAGAATGAAGCCAAAGTCCCTGGCAGTGTCTGTTGCATGACTTTTTTCTCGGATCTCATTTCCTATCACTTTACTTGTTGTAAAGAACTAAACCCCACTGTCTTTCAGATATGATTCTCCTCCGGGGAGTTTCTGCTTAGTGCTTAGTGGAGGGACTTCTCCATCTGGAACATTTCACCATCAGATACCTACAGTTCTCATTCTTTGACTCTCACTTCTAGAGAAATATTTTTTCCATCCTCTTGTATTCTAAGTCTTCATCGTTCTTCATTTGAGTAACCTGGTGTTCTTTTCTTCTAAGCTCTCATTACTAGCTGCCTTGTTGTTTGTTTGTAGCTAGTTAATTTTCTAGTTCCTTATTAGTGTGTAAGCACCATGAGGGCAGAGGTTTTTCACTGTTGTGTTCGTTGGTACATCCCCAGCATCTAAACTGCCTGTTTGTTGTTGAATAATATTTATGAAATAAATGGGTGATTGACTTTATTCTTTTCATTACACGTGGTCATTGGAGATTTTGTCTCTAAAATATAAGACAGTCTCCAAAAGGTAGAAGGGAGAGAGACCCAGGAAGTGTGATTGCATCAGTGTATTTATCAACTGCATATTTATGGATTACACAGTTATACATCATCTCTTTGAATACAGTTATGTACATCAGAGCATAACTACAACTATCGAGTGTAGAGTCAACCACCAGTTGGTGTTACCTCCTGATTTTTGTGACTGGTCAAGTACTTTTGGTTTCAGCAAGGAACTAAGGCTCATTAATGGCTGAATATGAAAAAGAAGAGTGTGTATTGGTCATCTTTGCATCACTTTGTCCAAATACCTGATGTAAACCCCTCAAAGAAGGAAACGTTTGCTGTGGGCATTAGGTTCGGAGGTTCCAGTCCATGGGCAACTGGGTCAAAGGCAGAAACACCATGGTGGAAGTATATGGAGAGGGGAGGCTGCTCAACTTGTGACATCTGTGATACTGAGAGACAAGCAAAGAGCCAGAGAGTCTGGGGCCAGGGACAGGAGGCAGTCTCCCAGATCATGCCCGATCACCCAGCCAGACACACCCAGAACTATGCCTTGCTAAGCTCCTGTGTGTCTCAAGCTAATCCACTTGGCAAGATTAACCATTGTAACATTTTACTGTTTTCACAGCATGACATTGAAGGAACATATACAAATAAATATCGCAAACCAAAAATCGGAGCAATAACCTAATGTTAGGAAGAAAGGCCTTAGTTATGTTTCAAAAGGGAAGACAAAGAAAACACTGACTAAACAGTAGCTAGGTTTTTATACTAGCACAAGTGATAGTCGGTGACGAAAGTTTAAGTGCAGACAAAGAAAACAGAAATAACTTAAAAACGAATCATAAAGAAGTGTAGAGATTACCCAAGCTACCGTTTCACGAAGACAGGCTCACTTATGTCATTGAATGACATATTTACATTCGCAGGTCTCCAACAGGGTGATTTATGGAGGCATGCCATACTTGGCTCTTGACGACGCTGTCTCACTCTGTCACCATGGTTTTGAAATATCTTTAGCTTTGTCTAAAAGTGTGTTTGGTTATGAGTGAATAAAATCCCGACATGCGATCGTTACACAGTGTTCTATCGTGTTGAGCACATCCCTCTGTTGCCTAATCATCAGACTGGGCAAGCTCGACTCTCAACATTTAGCGTTTGGCTGTTCAGGGGCAAAATTTTGCTCATTATATCTCTCGGATATTAACAGAATCGGCTTCCACCTTTTCCTGTCTGTGGTCACTCTTCGTAACTTCTCTCAAGAAGGGTCACAGTTGCTTTCTGGATGTAGTCTGCACTGCCAGTCTCTCCCCTACCCTGGTCCATGCTGAAATCACCCAGTCACCTTCAGAAAGCTCAGTCCTTGTGTTTATCCTGTCTGTGGACTAAGATTCCGCAGTTCGACTTCCTTTAGCTTCATTTTTTAGCCTCTCAACATACCCAGCACAACGGCCTCATGGAAATCTGTCCATCTCCGAACACAGCAGGTTCCTCCCCAGGAACTTCCTGCTGTGAAACGTGTTTTGAAGGCCCTCGTTTCAGCCCGATTTTGTTTATTAAATTCATTTTGACTGATACGTGAAATTGTACATACCTATGGGGTGCTTTGTTTCTGTACACGTATATATGGTGCGCTGTCTAAACCAGGTTGAGTGTCTCTGCGTCCTCCCACATGGATCATGTCTCTGTAATGAAAACATTCCCGATGCTTTCTCCTGGCTTTCTGTTATACACAACACACCATCGTTATCCACAGTCTCCTAGTGTGTGATAGCACCGGTGGCTGTACCTCTCAGCTCCTCCTGGTCTTTTGTTTCTCGCTGAATTATGGCATCATCAAAACCGGCATTGTACCCGGTTCCCACTGTGTGTGTTTAACTGCCACCCCAGATGGCTGCACTCTGGGGTGAGGGTGCTATGTCATTCATCCTTGTGATCTTCCCGGTACTGAGCAAAATGCCTCTGCACAGGGGCTGCTCAATAAAATGTTTGTGTTGTTTTCAAAGAGATCCCCATCTGAGCTCCCCTCACCTGCAGCTATGGATCCTTTCTTTCCTCCATTGAACTCCGACCGCCCGTGAGCCCTCAGTAAGACCGAAGTTCCTGCGAAGACCATGCTTCCTGCCAGAAGGACACATTAGAATTATATTCGTCCCGATATACTCTGTTTATGTCGGCATCAAAATATGGAGAAACATGTTTTAGCAGTGAATACGGAGGGATGCCCTGTGTAAATCTGCAGCCCTTTATACTCTCTGGGGACACCCTGTCTCCACCATCTCTTAGACCAAGTCATATATTTATTCCAGTTTGGAAATGGATGTGCACTTCCCCCAGAAATGGACAGTTGTGCCTGAGCTATCTAAGTCAGTGGCCACATGCTATTCCAGTTCATTCTGCGCCAGTAGAGGGACCAGGTTACCCTTGAAATTATACCCTAGGGGCGATGCACTTTTTCTTGTCTTATCCAACTTCTAGCTGGCAGGAGAGTGTTATTGGTAGGACTTGTCATACGGATGTAAACTATGTAGAATGAAAGCAAGTGAAAGGGTTATGAAAACTATGTTCAGCGTCTGAGTGAGAAATGACCACTTAACCCAGTATGATTCCCTAAGAGACAGTGTAACTCAGTGCAGAGTAGTTCTGTTCATCTCATGCCTTCCGACTCTTCTCGGGAACCGTTTGTACAAGATGGTAAAGAAATCATCGAAGAGAAGTTTTTAAAGGTTGATGTTGGTAGACAGTAATCCTACATATTTATATACCCGTATATGCATATGTACACAGGATATGTAAAACAGGACAGAAGATTTGAATTACATCTGTCTTTATGAATACCATCCCAGTAATTCAGAAACTGAAGAACACATCATTAGTGACTGCCTCCTGTGTTTGAGAAACGGACTTGAAGAAATTCAGAGTCATGAATTTGTCACTACACTGACATTCTATGTTTCTTGATTTAATTATCAAGAGGGGATCTTGAGACAGCTATTGAAACTCTAGTCAACTGCCTGTGTTCAAATTTAGACTTTTCCCTTAGGGTGAAGAAAGAAAAAAAAAAACATGTATTATAAAACTTCTATTTCACATAAATCAGAGAATAGTTAATTTTAAGTATTTTACCAACCATGATCTTTTGGGTAATGAAAATGTAAGGTGATTTCCTTGTCAAACAGATGGTCACACCCTGTCTGGTTCAAAGAGAACACACGCATTAGCTCAGTTTCTGTGGTTCTAGAGGCTCTAGAATCTGCACGTGTCATAGGCTCTGCTGCTCGGTGTCCTGGGACTGTTTGTTGCCCAGGCATCTTGTCAGCAGGGCTCCCTTCTCACCTGCAAGCTCCCTGGGGAGGAATCTACGCTCACAAAAGACGACTTCTGAAACTGCTGCCAGAAGGGGCAAGAAGGATGGGAAAAGTGTGCTCAGAGTCAGTCAGAGGCCTAGGAGGGGGATTAATGCCAATGTGTCTTTGACGGTGATCATATTTTTGATCATACTTTGTACAAGTAACAGCATCGAGGCCATTTTTCACTCATGCCTACAGTCAGCACGTTTTTACATTTTCTCTCTCTCTCTCTCTCCCTTCCTACCCCTGTAATGGAGTTTAAACCTAGGACCTTCACACTGCGCTATGTCCCCAACCTTTTTAAAAAATTTTTCCCTTTACTTTGAGAAAGCTAAGTCACTGAGATGCCGAGGCTGGACTTGAACTTGCAATCCATCAGCCTCACCCTGGGATTATAGATGTGTGCCACCACACATAGCTTTATCTGCGTGACTACATCTATCTCTGTCTGTCTCTTATTTCTCTCTCTTTCTCTTTGTTTATTTTTTCATACCTGGGATCGAACTCAGATCCTTATGCTTGTGAGGCAAGCAGCAGAACCACAGAGCTAAATCCCCAGACCCTTTTTCTCTATCTATATCTCTTTCACTTAGCTGTATATATGTCCTTCATATAT